ACGTACAAACTGTGAGCCCACACAAGAAGGGGGAGGATCCTTGTGCGTTGAACACGGCTCAGGAATGTAAACAACAGAGAACAAGACGAAAGCAACCGAAAGGCAGAAATTATATAGTTTCACATTTTACATGCTGTTGTATTTAGTCAGCTTTCTCAGAGTCTCTGATCGTGTTTTAATTATATAAAGAGGGTGGCAACTTAAGCGTGTAAATTAACTAGCGTCACTTTAGGGTCAAGCTTTGGGTTCATTTGAAGTTGACTTGAATGAATGGAAGTGATTGTTCCGTTTTAGGAGGCAGTGTTTACATTGGTTTTCAGTTACCTCATGTTGTGTATATATGTGTATCTGTGTGAGTGACTGAAGCTGTATTAATCACACGTATTCTTTAAGGTCACCAGATGTGCATGAGAAAGTAAGATTGCACAGTTGTGTTGTCTTTTTAAAGTTTGGGTTTTGCTAAATATGTGTCGACATCTATGAAGCCAGGAGCTGAAAAGTGAAAGATGTCACCAGACAAGAAGCTACTTTGTCAATAATATTTTTTTTTAAGTGAGAAAAAAAAAGAAAAATGAGGAGAAAATGAAAAAGAGAATACAAAAGAAAACAGAAAAAAAAAGCCAAAAGCAAAAAGGGGAACACCAGAGAGAACAATATGAGAGCAAAAGTGGAGCGCAGAAGAGTGCAGTCATACGTCTTTTTGGAAATTTCCATGACCACGTTGATTAAGTATGCAATCTGACCACAAGATAGCTAAGGCCCGGTTCTAAACAAATGCTCTCGCCTCTGCTGTGCAGGCTTGTTTAACGGCTGAGGTGGCAGCGTTTGCCTTTGTAACACGGAGCGCTGCGCAGAGATTGAAAACACATGATTGAACACACACACACACACACAGGCGAAAACTCTGATGCACCATATTCCCTGTACCATTGTGCGCTCCAGACAAATTGTTATCTGGTGCGTCTAGAGAGTTTGCCCTTGCTGATACCAAATCTGTCTGCCAACATGTTTCTATACTATCCAGCTTTCTGATCCGTCATCCTCGGTCGTGTCTCTTCCTATTCATCTGTCTACAAGCTGCAACTGTACAAGCCAAGACGAGCTGACATTGTCTCTCGGTTTGCTTCTCCGAAACTTTCCGCCTTTAAAATAATCTGCAATGCTAAAGAGTTTCCAGACCGCAAAACATGGGACCAGTTAGTGCTCCATCTCTCTAATGACTAAAGTCGAGACTGGCACCAGGGAAATACGATACTCGATGAGTGGTTGGCTAAATTTCTTTATCCACATCCCGGCTGTTTGAGGGTTGACCACTGTGGCCGCTGTGGCCTGGTAGGCAGGAGAAGAGAGGAGGCCACGTCAGGGTTATGCAGCACCCTACACGCACATAAATACACACAGCAGCTCACAACTTTATCACACTTCCTTCCTCTTCTCCTGCTGCTGAGAATTATACAGCAGCAGATTCTGAGAGCATCTATCATGATTATGAATACATTCGCAGCTATAGGATTATATTTCATGTCCTACACATCCTATCAGGAGTGCTACATAAATCGCTGTAACACTTAATAATATATTGCCTGAGGCTGAGCAGTGCAGGGTTTATTTCTAGACCTTTATTTCTCTTGTTCTTTCCACCTCTGCCTGATTAAAGTCAATAAAACCAGAAGAATTATCTGTTTGCTGTCAGGCGTCCCACACCTAAACACAACTGTTTGGGGACTGCGGGGAGTTCCTCAGAAGTCGCACGCCTCTCAATATGGTGGCCTAATATGACGGATATTACTCCCTCCAGGTCGCTCTCCGTGGCTCTGTTCCCAGAAGCCCTGTAGCCGATACTCAACTTCAACCAATTTTAATAAAATGGTGACATACAACAGTCGGACTGCGGGGCTGTTTTGTTATCATGGCGCAAAATGAAAACGGCCTATGAAGCTACGACTGTGGCGATATGACTGACACTTCTTCAACCCCAAAGACAGATATTTAACATGAATGAAGAAGCCTCAGATGTCACAGAAAACAGCAGCGAACAGAGAGAGGTGCAAGTAATTGTGTTAGAGTAAGATCAGCGTCTGCCCTTCTCCCACTCGACCGTGCACTTGCTGACCTCGTTTTGTGAACTTAAAGAGAACTTCTAAGTAAAAAGCTCCCTAACAAGGCTATTATACATCCATGCTTTGGTTAAGGAACAAGACTTGAATCTTTAAAAATCACGTCCCACAGATGTAGCAGGGCACTTTCTTCCCCACTTTGATATCAGTGATAAAAACTGCTTCTGTACCTGCAAGAGGAGCATCCCCTCATCTCCCTCTTCACATATCCTAAACAGCATACTCCTGTGTGAGCTACGAAACATCAAGCATTCATTAATAACTCTTCTGTGAGAAGAGGAGCAAAATCAATCATGCAAGCCTTTGATTCATGCCACTGATCTTTGCCCTTTAAATGTCACACTTTGATCCCTTTTTTCCCTCCTCTCTTCTTTTCCGCTACCTCCGCTGTCAGATTTCCACTTTGGATGAGAGAGTAACTTATAAAGGACTCTGTTGTTAACCTGGGCCATTAGTCAGAAAGCATCAGCATCATTAGCAACAGCAGAAACAGCAAGAACAACAACTGGTGGAGGAAGAGGAAGAAGTTGCATTAGTGGCACCACTGCAACAACTTCATGCACAGATGTGCGCGCCGCAAGCAAATATCTTCAGCGTTTCATCTTGAAACTAAAAGAGTCCGATGATAAGAAGAATGCATGTTTGCTGCATATGTCCTAGTATTTTCTTTGCACTTCATCAGCCATCGCAGAGGGTGACCTCCCATGAGCCTTTGCAAACAGAGCCCTAGGGCCTCGGGGCACCTCTTTCCCCATCTCTCTGCCCCAGTTGGTCACGCCACAGCAGCCGCTGCACTCACCAACCAAAATACAACAACAACAACCAGAAAAAGTCAGCGGCTGGCAACAGCAGCAGAGGCAGCAGCGGCAGGGCTGTCGTTAAAGACAACCATCACCACGGCAGCTACTTACCGGGACACGCGCAGCCGCCCACGGACATCTTCTCACATGTCTGGTGTGAATCCGATCAGAATGATGGTGGTGGTGGCTCTGTTATCCCTGCTCTCTTCCTCTCCTTTTCTCTCTCCTCGTTCTCACCAGTCACTGCTGCCGCCACTGAGGCTGCTCACATGAGCGTCTGTTATCCCCACGGTTCACACACACAGACACATACACACACATATACACACCGCCAGGGAGCAGAGAGAGAGAGAGAAGAGGGAGTGAGTGAGTGAGGGAGGGAGGGAGTGAGTGAGTGACGGCGAGGGAGGAAAAGAGAAAAGAGAGAAAGAGGGGAAGAAAAGGTTAAAAAAAAGAGCACACACAAACACACACACACACACAAAGGATCAGATTCTCTCAGTTGTAGCTGTACACTGTGAATCACACTGCGAGTGTGTGTCCAAGTGTGTAAGTGAGTGCGTGTTATCGAGTGAGGAGAATACTGCTCCTGCCTCTGCTCTGCCCTCACCCTCATCAGCCCTGCAAATTACAGCTCAGGTGGGAGGAGAGAGGGAGTAAGAGAGAAAGAGAGAGGGAGGGAATGAGCGGCTGAGTGCTAGAGAGAGAGAGAGCGAGAGAGTGTGTGTGTGTGCGAATGTGTGTGCGAGCGAGCAAGCGAGTAAGCTAGGGCGAGAGAGAGAGTGGACTGTCAAAGTGACCTGAGAGGCAGATTTGAGAGAATAACAACCATGTGATGTGGGTCCCTTTTTTCCCTCCTTTAAATATGTAGAGACTGTTTTTTTCCCTTTTTTTTACTGCTGCTGCTACAATGACACACACACAGACACACACACACACACACAAACAGACACACACACAGACACACACACACACAAACAGACACACGTGAGCACACACACGTAGAGAAGTGAAGCTTTAAATGATCCTCAGGAAATCTGGCTCTGTGTGTGTGTGTGTGTGTGTGTGTGTGTGT